TATATTTTTAATTTATATATTTAAGATAAAAATTAAATTAACACTATATTAATTTTAACATGAAAGTTAATGATACAACAAAGTTTGATTCTACGGGATGGTATCACGAATTCTTTTTTTTTTTTCAAAAATAAAATAAATTAAATTGTTAGCAAATCATTTCAATCAAAGAGGTAACGTTCTAGTGGCAAAAGTCACTGAAAATCTCTTTCAAGTGTTGTGTACAAAACACGAGGTAGCAAATTTAAGGAAAATTAGCCAAAAGATTTAAACTGTTTGGTTGAACAGTTTATTGGTTTGTATTGGTCCGAACGGTTCTACCATTTTTGAGTGGTTCAACCACTTTATTGGTTCTAAATGTTGACCCGATCCATTTACAGTATTGGGTATTGATATGACCGGTTCAATCAATCGATCTGGTTCGATTTTTGAAACAATGACCATGCTACGTGAGTTAAGTTGAGTTCGGAGAGTGCCATCATATAATTTTTGGATATTAGTCTTTATGGGTCGAGATCCACAAGCTCTTTCTTTACCTTCTTCAAAGTTTTCTCCAAATTGTGAGGCTTTAAAAGCCCAGAGGTGAGATCAGCTCATATGTCATTTATATTTAATAAGTAATACACCTTCATCTTCTTCTCTGTGAAGCTCTGTGAGAAAGGTTGTCAAACTCACTTTAACCTAGCACATGTGCATTTAAGATGCATGGCGTGATATATGACTTTGCCAAATATGGACTTTGCGTTCACGAAGTACTATAATATAGGACCACCATGGTTTTCTCTGTGGAAAACTCGCCATTCATTCACAAGAATGGCAAAAGGGACAGGTTTTGGACAGCTTTTCCTAGCTTGCTTTGTGCTGCAGAACAATTCTGGTCCATGACATTCCAGATTGATAATGAAGAAGACGATGTGAGTAGTTTTATTCAAACAAAGCATTTGCATTCCTTGGTTCTCTCTGGTGGCAGCATTAGTGAATTTCCAAAAAAAGTAGGCAAACTGATGCAAATCTGAAAGTACGTACTTTACTTGTGTGGCAATAAGTTGAATAAAATTGACGTACTTATGGATGGTTTGAGAAGTAACTCCATGCTCCCCTACTTGATGACTTGAAAAGAGCTAGTTTGCTCATACCAATATAGACATTATGTGTGAAAATTGTGCATGTGGGCTCAACACAAGGCTTGCATCCAACCGAAAACCAATTGACAATAGGTGGAGTGGCCTTCCTTGTATTTAACCCACAAGCTTCTTATTTTTATACTTGATGTGAGATTTTCCCACTTAACACGCCCCCTCATGTGCAAGTCAACTGTGAATGTCGGGTCCTATCACGAGGGTTAACACGTCCCCTTATATGTAGGTCCGGTACCTTCAACTTTGGGTCTTGTTAGGTGAGCTAACAACAGGCTTCCCATGACAGAATCTGAGCTTTGATATCATGTGAAGATTGTAAATGAGAGCTCAACACAAAACTTGCATCCAACCTAAAACCAATTGGCAATAGGTGGAGTGGCCTTTCTTGTATTTAACACATAAGTTTCTTATTTTTATACTCGATGTGAGATTTTCCCACTTAACATTCCCCCTCACATGTAGGCCCATTATGAATGTCGATTCTTGTCACGTGGGTTAACACGTCCTCTTAAATGTAAGCCCGATACCTTCAACTTCAGGTCCTATCAAGTAGGCTAACAACGAGCTTCCTAAGACAAAATATGGGCTCTAATACCATGTAAAAATTATGCATGTGGGTTCAACACAAGGCTTGCATCCAACCTAAAACCAATTGGCAATAGGTGAAGTGGCTTTCCTTGTATTTAACCCACAAACTCCTTGTTTTTATACTTGATATGGGATTTTCCCACTTAACATGCCCTCTCACATGCAAGCCCATTATGAATGTCCAATCCTGTCACGTGGGTTAGGACGCCTCCTTAAATGCAGACTTAGTACCTTCAACTTCAAGTCTTGTTAGGTAACCTTCAATTGGTTTTAGGTTGGATGCAAGTTTTGTATTGAGCCCACATTCACAATTTTCACATGAGCCCAGATTTTGTCTTAGGAAGCCCATTATTAGCCCACCTGACAAGACCCAAAGTTGAAAGTATTGGACCTGCATTTAAGGGGGCGTGTTAACCCACATGACAAGACCCGACATTCATAACGGGCCTGCATGTAAAAAGACGTGGTAAGTGAGAAAATCCCACATCAATAAAAATAAGAAGTTTATGGGTTAAATACAAGGAAAGCCACTCCACCTATTCCCAATTGGTTTTAGGTTGGATGCAAGCTTTATATTGAACCCACATGCACAATTTTCACATTATGTATGACAATAATCTCATAATCCGAAATCATAATATGGAAATAAAACAGGGTGATCTCTTGATAATATTGCTTTTCTTATGAATATATATCATACTGGTTATTAGGCTCTTCAAAGATTATTTGTTGGTTTTTCATCAGACTCCATGGGATCCATACTGCTCAAATTCTAGGGTAGGGAGTTTGACAGCCTTGTTAGAGAACGGATTTAGTAAGGTTATAGTAATTATATAAGGTAATTAGGCTCTTCAAGCTGCTTCTTTTAGTTATTCTTTTACTGTGAAATGCAAAGATGATTCTCTCTTACATTACTTCACGTATGGTTGCATGGAGATGATTCAAGTTGACAATGACAAACCTTTAAGCCTTGTATCGATGATGATTTTGATGGCTTAAATCTCTTTTTTTATTTTTATTTTTTCTATATCAGCAATTTCTTAAATTTCTGAATTAATTTAATCTTGATTTTCAAACGATAAACGTAAAAAAACCCATTCACTTCTCTATAAATATGCCCTTCCTTACTTCTATTCACCATATCTTGGTCTGTTGTCTTTGCTCTTTACCACAGCAAGCCCTCCTCTTCATTTTCAATTTGCTGCAAAGAAAGAAACCCTTCTCTTCATCAAGTAACACTCATTCTTTTTTTTATTTAGGCAATAGTTCTATTAGATTTCTGTTTTAGCCACCTCTTCTTGACTATGTTTCTTTGTTTTCAATTTTTCAGCTCTATGTATCCCTACCAGCAGCAATCAAGACAATAGCCAGGATAATAGCCAGGGCAGCAGCAACCATGAGAATAGCAACCAGCGAGGCAGCCAGGAGAACAACAACCAGCACGGCAGCCACCTTAGCAAGGAGAAATGGTAATTGACTATGACACTGACGGATGGTGCAACCTCTGCCAACGTCATTTCAGAAACGCTAGGGGTGTTGTTAATCATCAATCAGATAAGTACCGTGAGGCCAGAAGGGTTTGCCAAACATGTGGTAGAAAATATGAGAACCAGGCAAACCTGAACATTCACACCCAGGGACACCACTAATTGGAGTATATGTTGTTTTGGTGGCCTTTTAACTTGTGTTGTTCTGGTGTGGATGTTGCTTTAGGTAGCTTTTTAACTTCTCTTGCTCTTGCTTTTTAATTTCTCTTGATGTAGCTTGGGATTTCTTGCAATCTAATTCTAACCTTTTTATCTTTTCTTTTCTTCTTCTTTCTCCCTCTCTTTTTAAAAAAATATTATCCTTTATTTTTTTCACGGTGATAAAATCACAAAAACACAAGAGCTTAATGTATGTCACGTTTGGAAGCCCAAATTATTCATGGGATGGGATAAAATACACACACACACACACACATATATATATATTAGCCAGGCTTATATGTTTCTTTCGAGTAGTCATTTTATGTGAGATGTTGAGTAGTGGCTCAACTACATTAATTTACCGATGAACAGAATCCATCATATGTAGCATTAATCTTCCAGTTTGGAGTCAAGAAAGAAGGGAACATTCCAATAAAAAAATTTAAGAGGCCTAGTATTTTTTAGTCCTTACAAAGGACCTATTTTGCTGGTACATCACATTCTTTCTTGAAAAATTTATATATCTTTCAATATGCCTTCTGAATTTGAGCTCATCATTAATTAATTGTTTCAGGTGTAATGAAACTTTGATTTTAAGCTTAGGTAAGAAATAGTCGACTATATTAGACTCAGTTGTTTTACTGTTTTATGTAGATAATAAGAGATATTGTCTATGACTGACTTTTCTAAGTTGTGCTCAGAGCCTCAGACTGTACCTGGCTTTTCTTTTCTTTTCTTTTCTTCTTCTTTTTTTTTTTTTTTTGGATGAAATATAAACCTTTCAATTATCCAATAAACCTGTCTGAACAAAAACAACAGCTACTACTACAATTTATGGGATTTACAATTTAAGAAAATTCCAGTCATGGCCTGTGCCTAGCTTTTCTTTATCTGACCTAGCTAAACTTATGGAGAAAAGAAAAATAGAAGAGAAGGACATTTCATGTCTTAGGCTGCCCATGTTTGCTTCTTCGGTTGGAGGTACATCTAGGTTTCAAGCAAAACTGACCAAATGCTGATGAGCATTCAAGGTGCTCACAAAGTTTATTGCTAGCAGAATCAAGCCTTTTCTGCCAAAGCTAGTATCCTTTCACCGATTGAGTTTTGTACCAGGGAGAAATATAAATGATAATGTATTATTGTAGCTAAAGAAATCATCCACTTCATGAGAAACAAGAGAGGTGAGAAGGGTTATATTGTAGCATTTTTAAGTTTTGGTTTAATTCTGTTAGAAGTGTTGGAACTGGTGTGACTGTAATTTCATGCAAATTGTTCACCGAATTGTAGGCTTTCACTCTTTGAGCACTTAAACTTTTCCATTTTCTGCTTTTGCATTTTTAGATCAAATGGTAATGGATAGAAATCTAGCTTTTTATTTTTTATTTTTTCCTTTATTGAATTGGAAGCTTAATTTGTGGTGTAGCATAAGCGGGCATGTTTTTCCTTTTTTTAGAAGATAAAAGTTGCAAATGAAGGAATTTGTGTGGATATCTTAGATAAAACTATTAGATGAATAATCAAGATTTGATATATGGTGATATAGAATGGAGAGCACTAAGGTTACGGTAAGGGGCGCGGCAGGAAGGAAAGACAGTGGCTATAGACAGCGGCAAGGGCACAGAAACAGGGTTGTAGGTTATAATAAACAGTTTTTGGTCAACGACTTTCTTCTTTTATAATTTCCCAGAGGAATTAGAGGCAAAATTTTTATGGAATTGTTTTCAAATGTATGGTAAGGTTGTAGATGTGTATCTTCCGAGCAAACGTGATAAGCGAGGAAAGAGGTTTGGGTTTGTGTGGTTAACAGGGGTCAATAAAGAGATTCAAATGAAGAGGAAGCTAAACGAGATTTGGATTGGCTCATATAAGATTAGAGTGAAGATCGCAAACAATAGGCAAAGGAAAACATCACTGTCCAAGAAGCCACAAGGTGCAGTTAAGGATAATGGATCAACGAACAACATGAATAGGTTGGTCCAACCAGGGCAATCATATGCACAAGCAGTGAAGG